TTATTTCATGATTCTCAGCCATGCAAGTATCCAAGCAAACCTGGTGCTGCTCGGTCAGACGTTGGTTGCACCTATTTGGACAGAACCCGTTATCCAGGTTGCGATTTGTGAACTCGAAGCACCCACATTCCTCATCGAACTCTGACGAAATTCACCTCAACATCTCGACACTGAGCGTTCATAAGGGCCAATGTTGTAAACGTAAACAATGGCTCCCTTCTTAAATTTCCCTAATTCAAGGTCCATTCATGCAAGCCACTAATTCTATCGGATAGGAGGACTCTCCCTCTACACAATCATTGTGATATTTTATTTGAGCGAGTTTTCATCTTCGAGAAATTCGCGGAAGAAGTCATTGTTTACGTTTTGGACATTGGCACTTATTAAAAAGCAGCAGAGAGTTGTTAGTTGTCATGATAAATAATCTTTCATGAGATAGATAGAGATGTGACCCGATATATTAGAGATGTGAGCGATAAAAAGACGATATCAGTGCTAACATTTGAAAACGGCGCAAAAGCCATTTGTAAACAAATGGTTTGTGGGCCCTTTACTCGCTACCCGAAGAACGCCCACGCAAACCAACAGCATCGTCAGGAAGGGGAAAATTTCCCCTACCCGATGTTGCTGTTGTGTCGCGTGGGTGTACTTCAAGTAGTGAGTAAAGGACCCACAAACCATTTGTTTACAAATGGCTTTTGTGCCGTTTTCAAATGTTAGCACTGATATTATTAATTTTAAAGATTTGAACAACATAAATTTTCATGGATTTAAATCAATTCATTAGTTTAAAAGGTATTTTTGGATAAAATTTGAATAAATCTGGGACTTTCGTCCCCCTCGGAAACAATAAAGAATTTCTGGAGTAGCCAATTCCAGGGGAAACCAGAAGACGCTCAGAAAATCCTTCCAATAGAAGCCGGGAAAAACCTACGGAGAAATCTTTAAGCTTACCCATAACTTCTGAAAAGTTACTGAAGTTTTCCTGAACCACAATAAAACTGTGGAAGCATCCCTGAAGTTCCGCGGATGTTGCAAAACTAAACTAACGCGAGAAAACGGAAGAACCTTTCGAGCGAAGCCAGTAAAAGCTTCCAAAGGGAATCGCAATAAATTTCCGGTAGGAATCAGAAAATAACTTACGGGGCAAGGTGGAAGGAACATCCAACTTCAGGAAGTGAAAAAATGAACATTTTGATGGACCTATTTGTTCACTGAATAAAAGTATTTCCCGATTTCCAGGTATTACAGAGATGAGCCCGAGGATGAGCCATCAGCTATTTCTCGATTCCTGGTTAGCCAAAAACGGCGATGAAATGGAAACATTAGTCGAAAGAGTATCAAGCATAATAGCATAGAGGTAACTCTAAGACCACTGGGTCCCGAAGAAAATCATTATTATTTTTGGCTCACTCAGTACCAGAACAACGGTCCCAAGCAGTCCCAAGCTATTTCACTCACCCCTGCATGTTCTGCATGAATCCACACACCCCTGATGTTATCTGTCAAACTTTCATAGCGAATCAAAACAAACATAGTGTAGTAATATAATTTCAACTAGAATAGGGTACGTTAATCGTTTGCTTGGGACCAATAGGCTACTAAAGTGGTGAGCCAATTTAAAATCGTTAGTTTCGTACACAGCAAAAAAAATGTAATATCGATCAACGTAATTCAAGCTGATGTATGAAATAATGATTTAATAGCAAAAAGCAGATACAATATTACATCAATGGATGTAATTTTGTTCGCAAAATCGATGTACATCGTACAATGTGATATTACACAACCGATGGATTGACCTGGTTGCAGCAGTTTCGATGTAATATTCAACAACTTTTTTTGCTGTGTATTGATTGTTGATAATAGTACGTTCAGACTACAGAGTTATAACAACAATCAATACGAAACTAACGATTTTAAATTGGCTCACCACTTTAGTAGCCTATTGGTCCCAAGCAAACGATTAACGTACCCTATTCTAGTTTTATAAATCTTCATTTTTATCAACAAAAATATATGGATCACTGCAAAATCGATTCAAAAAATAAAATTTTCCACATGGATAACGATTTTGTGCACTTGCGATGGATAAATAAATCAGAAAAGGTGAAAATGTTTTCCACCTCCTATACTTCACGACAAACATTTCAGGCCTCATCACTCTTTTGAGCGTTACTCTATTCACCTCCAGAGGCTGAAAGGACCGCTTAGTTTCTATTAGATTGGCCAATTGATTTCTTGTCTATCGGAAATAAGTCTGATGGAATAGCAAGTTTATTTGAAAAGTTTCAATCTGTCAAATTTAAGTGGAAGATCACCAAATGGAAGACACCCTTAGGCTCTGAACCATTTGGAGGATTATTTTAACTTTTGGTTAAAATTTGACAGATGGAAAGTTATCGATTAACCCTGCTATCCGAGCGTGGTTACTTCTGACAGACAAGAAGTTAAATGTTGACGACCGTGGCTCGAAAACCGGTCGATCGACAGCACGGGGATTTTCGAACATAAGAAATAACTTTCAAAATGTCATTTTTCACCACGAGTTAAATTTAACTCGGCAAATGGTTCACAGCCTTAGTATGCGTGCTGCCCCTTTTGTTGTCAACATTCTGTACATTCCATCCAGCACTCATCTATTAGACATCTACATCATTTAGTGTGTAGACGACACGTCTACACACAAAAAATAATAATTGATAAACCGTTGATAGAATTAAAAGTTTGCATTGGTTCTTTTTGGTAGAAAGTAGCTAACTTTCAAAATGAAAGTCAACCAACTGTCAAAACAAAAGTTTAGCATATTAATAATTTTAAAAGTTTAAACTTTCAAATCAAATTGTAGAACTGTCAAACTTAAAACCAAATGCTTTTTGATTGATGTTGGAAAAGTTTTGCTTCAAAAGAAGGCTATTTCACCGCAATTAGTATAAGTTTTCACCTCAAATACGGATTATTTTTAATTTAATTGCTTTTATGTAAAAGGAAAATAACCAATATTTATATTTATTTAAGTACTAGCTGAGTGTGCCCGGTCTTGCTCGGGATTCAATATTAGCTTGAGTTTATGCGCCGATTTAAAAAAAGCATGCTATATCGTACGTAGCCCCCCCCCTATTATCTAAGGGGCTACCCCCTATGATTATCTCCTTATACCCCCACACTCACCCCCACATGCCTAATTTGGTTCCATTTGCTTGATTAGTTCTCGAGTTATGCAGAAATTTCTGTTTCATTTGTATGGGAGCCCCCCCCCCCTTACAGAAGGGGGAGGGGTCTCGAACCATCATAAGAACCTTCTACGGCCCCAAAAACCCCTGTATACAAATTTTCACGCCAATCGGTTCAGTAGTTTCCGAGTCTATAAGGGTCAGACAGACAGACAGACAGACAGACAGACAGAAATTCATTTTTATATAGGGTAAATGTTGGCTTCGGCACCCATTGACTGTTTTCGGCAACCTAAATTTAAACGTTAATTTCACTATGTTTTCCCATCAACGCACTTCCCTGAATGTGTCCAAACGATTGTTTAGCCTTTGAGCTTCAATCTGATTATATTTGAACGATCGAGCAATCCAGTAATGCTACATTTTTCTTCAAATAAAGCATACGCACTACAAAATGGGGTTGATTTCGAGTTGCCGATAATAGAACAGCTGGTTAACACGCAGTTCTAATGGGAAGGTTGCCGAAGAAAAAGAGGCTGCCGACAATAGTCACACTCACCTGAGAAGTTTCGAGCGTTGTAAAAACGCTTTCAAAACGTTTTGAAAAATTCTGTCGATTGGAATGGATAGAGAAGCAAGCAGCAGATGAATGTAAACAAACAGACACATCATATATGTGCGTGACGCTGAGAAAATGCTAGTAGAAGTGCAGACGCTGCTTAGATTGACGAGAATACGTAAATTCCTTTATATAGATAGATTTTGTTAATATTCATATTTCTATTTTTCATTCACATCAGCATGTTGATATCAGGGATGTCGTCTTTGGCGGATGGCTTTAGTGACTTGGTCGAACGAAAGTGCATCTTGTTTTCACAGCTGGCCGTCGATAAGCAGCGAAACCTGGTGTGGCTAAATCTTACCAGTGTCCTATAGAAAAGAACGGAATCTGTAATCCATCCAGCGATACATTGCAAACGCTATTGATAGCCACCGAAAGCATCTCTGCAGTGTGCTCTAATGTCCTAATATGCTGACGATCTGGAAAATAATCATCTTGTTTTTCAAAACCACCCTCGAAATATCTAGACAGTAGTTTCAATCTTACCTTCGCGAAAACTTTATTCTTTCTCATTGCCTCCGGTACAGGAATCGGTTCCCGGAACTGCACGATGCACGATTGATTTTCTGCGGTTTGATTCTAGTGTCTCATACTATATGCCCTATTGGATTTTTGGACCATGACAATGAACTTTTCAAGAGGTGATTTTGACAGTTGTTCAATTTTTATTTTAAAAGTATGAACTTTTAAAATTACATGTCGATAATGAAAGAAAAACTTTCAAACCAAAGAATAACAATCCATTTTGAAAATATTCGCAGTTGAAACTACCAAATTCGAGAAACTTTTAATTTGAAATGTAAAATATTTTAAAGATACAATTTTTGTTTTTTGTGTGTTCTACTATGGCTGTGGTCCATTTGGCGAATTTTCACTTAAATTTGACGATTCGAAAATAAATTATACGCTTCGAAAATCCCTCTCTTGTTGATCTTCCGATTTTCGAAAAGGTGTTTTCGAATTGATTCCTGATCTGTCAGAAATAAGTCTGCTCGAAAAGCAGGTTTATTAAAAATTTTCCATCTGTCAAATTTAAGTGAAAATTCACCAAATAGAACACAGCCTATGAGTAGTTTAAAATCACCTTGTTCTCCTGTCTGTACATTATTATACGAGTTTAGTTTGCCCAATCACTCCAATGTTTTTAGCACACCCCTGCAGCATAAATGCTTGACAGTTTAGTACAACCAACTTGACAAGTCAGCAGTTTAGGCGCAATTTTCCAAGCAGCGATCGGGACGCTAGTTTCGGAAAATAAAAACAAATTCCAAGGGATTCAACTAGACTAATTAAACGAAAAAGTTTGCTCATCAAACGTGAGGATGTCGGCCTCAAGTGGCAAGATCATGATTCCGGTGGAATCACCAGCAGAACAGGAGGTAGTGAGTAAAATTCATTGAATTGAGAGGTTACGTTTTTGCCAACATCGATTTACCATATTGTTTTTGTCCGTTTGCCGGTGCCATTTTATACAGGAGCATCAGAAAAATGCCCGGAAACTACTGAGGAATGTCCAGAACGTGCCCGCAATGAACAAGGAAAACTTAGGAAAGCTGAACAAGCTTCCGGCCTATTTGGCCCAGAAGGAACTGGCCAAGAAAACGCTATTGTAAGTAATTCTCCGCGGCCGTGCTGTGCAGGAATATTCGTTGGAAAGCAGTGTTGCCATGTTCATTTTTGCCCTTCTAATTTTCAGCTCCGATGCAATGGAAGCAATCGAACTGAAACGGAAGAAGACTACCGTCCAGTCCCAATCATGCCAGACCTCTCCGGAGAAGAAACTGTCCACAACAGTAAAACCCAAAATTACCGTTGAGGACCTCACGTCGGAGGAAGGTCCCAGCGAGCAGTACTGGGAAGTTTTAGCGGAAAGGCGTCGGATGGCTTTGGAGGAATCTCTGGCAGAGAATATGGAGCTCTACGATAAGGTTAATGGTCTGGAAGAGGAATTAAGCCTATCTAAGGAGATGCTCCAGGAGGCTCAAAATCTGGTTGAAATTTTGACCGAAATGCTACAAGAGGGCGAAGCGGAGCAGGATGAGGCCGGTAGCAGTAAGGATGGCATCAACCTGGTGGACGACAGCGGTGTCCCAGCAGAACCAGAGATACACAGTGATTGCGACGATGATGATCTGTAAGGTTGCAGGTATCGGGATTGTTCTGATTTTTATTGACATGCCTCGAAGTCGTGAGTTTTTATATGTAATACCAATTATGCGGGATAGAGATCTACGGTTCCGTAAATTTCTACTGTAAATAGTCGAAAAGCATTTGGAACCAGACCTGAACGAATATTTTTTTTCGTGTGGGAAAATTGTTCTAATGTAATAACCATATTAACTTAATCATAATTTTCATCCTGACAAGGAATTCAACGGAATGTTTCTACTCTTACCATTCATTTGTAGTACATAGTTGTTCATCTGTAGAATTATGCGTGATCACCACTGACCCAATTCTGAACTAAGTTTGCTTTTTGTTGTTTTGAAGAAATATATGTGTGAAATCGAAAGAAGTTTAGCGATTTCTTTGGTGAAGAAATAATTTGAGAACATTATATTTTGTTTTTTCAAGTAGGAAAATGTTTGGTTCTTTATTATCAATAAATTATTACAATACAATATCATAAATTAGATGTGGAATGTAAGCCTTTTCCAATCATCAGTCTTTACTGGAAGAATTGCATATCCTAATCACTAATCTTTGGGATTTACGCTGAAATCTATAATATCAACTGGGATTTCTCTGCCTCAACCGGCCGCAACGAAGCGTGATTCACCAACCGGACGTCATTGTCACGCTTCACTGGTCTAGCTTTTTCGTAGACCGATAGCAATCGTGGTAGTACTGAATGCCCTTTCCATCGCGGTACCGATGAATTTTCCCGCGACAGTACAGGCACGGACTAAAGAACTGTGAATGTGCCTGATCCGCGTAGTGTTTGATAACGTCCGCAATGGTCTCCTTCGGGAAGCTGCCTTCGCACGACAGGCAGTGGGCTTGTTCCGGCGGGGCGGATCGTTCGAGAAATCGTTGATTGACCGCGTCGGTAGTTTCTTGGGGATGATGTTGAGGATTATGATCGCGAGCAGTTGAGTTGTGGCCGTTCGGCAGTGGGTTCTGGTATGGGAAATTGTTGCTCATGGTTTTGGAACTTACGGAATACTGATACAGTTACGAGAAAATGCGTGGAACTGCTGCTGAGATCGTTCGAAAAAAGCGAACCAATAAATTTAATTTTGCATTTTGTTTTCGAATCAAAACAAAATTTGACAGTAGCGTGAGGCGAACTTAAATGTAAATAAGAGCGAACGATGATAACAAACGGTTCGGTAAAAAGGAAAGATTCCTTTGTGTCACTCACGGTAACTTGAAATTTTGAACACGGTGTTTCGCGAAAACCCATTAATGGGTTTGAAAAATACCCATTTCCGCTAAAGGTTCCCCTCCTCATTTCTCGATGAACATTTCAAAGGGTCCTATCTGCTTTGATCGATTCTCTTCAGCGACTTTCTCTTTTCATAACCACTGCTATGCAAACAGATTTCGCGCTAATTCTACCACATAGTTTGATAAAGGAGGTTCTTATCTAGCGCCCAAAACGTCAAATACAACAGGGAAAGGTTTTGCAGCTAAGTTATTGACGAAAGAGAAAGTCGATTAAGAGAATCGATCAATGCAGATAGGACCATTTGAAATGTTTATCTAGATTTAATGGGTAAACTACACGGTATTTGCGAAAACCCATCTTCACGAATGTCGGAAGCTGAAGAAAGTGATAACCTGCAAAATTAAAACAAATGAAAACTATCAAACGAATCATTCCCAAAACTTCTCACCTAATTATTTTTTTTTTATCTTCATTCAAAAAATAAATCACAATTCCAATGAAAATATACATTAGAATTTCACATCGCAATCGCACCACAAAATCATATGAACCTTATGTGGCATATGAAGTTTATGTGATTTATCACATACACAGCAAGAAAAAATGTAATATCGATCAATGTAATTCAAGCTGATGTATGAAATAATGATGTAATAGCAAAAAGCAGTTACAATATTACATCAATGGATGTAATTTTGTTCGCAAAATCGATGTACATCGTACAACGTTATATTACACAACCGATGGATTGACCTGGTTGCAGCAGTTTGGATGTAATATTCAACAACTTTTTTTTCTGTGTACAATTCATGTGATCGTATGAACTTAATGTGAATTTCAGATAAAAATCAAAAATTTTGTTGTTGGAAAAATATCATATGCGTTCCCAGTTGAAACTATATAAAAACTTTTTTCTGTGCAGTTCATTTATTTGGAAGGCTCAATCATATTAGCCTTACAGAGCCGACAATTAATTGTTTATTGTTTGTAACACTTCAAACTTCGCGTATGAAGTAACATAAAAACACGTTGAATGTAACAACTCAAGGTGGTAGTAGCCGTCAACAATGCTGATGATGGTACAGCACGCAACAACCACCCTACTGCTTTCTCTCTGAGATGACCAAGTTGGTCATGACGAGAAGAGCAACACAGCCAAATGCTCCGTTATTACGTTCTCACGAAAACAACAACCGATAATATTTAGCTATGACCTACTTGGCTCGACAATCGAACGCGTGAATCAGGTGAAAGACTTGGGTGTGATCTCGGATTCGCAGCTTTCATTCAAGCAACACATTGCATATGTTGTTGATAAGGCGTCAAGAACTTTAGGGTTCATTTTTAGGATAGCTAAAAACTTCACTGAGCGGTGCCAGTGGTGTAGTGGTAAGCGTGATTACCTCTCACCCCAGCAGGCCTGGGTTCAATCCCAGTCGGCGCCGCCGGGATGTTCTGAGGCATAACATCTCTGATCACGCCTTCCTTCGGGAAGTAAAGCCGTTGGTCCCCGGTTCATGAGTTGATGGGTCGATAGGTAGGGTCCAGGTGTGGAAGCTGCCTTCCTGGCATCGGTAGCATTGGTGCTCAGCACGGAAAACAAGATCGACGGAAAACAAATCAAGGAAAAAAAAAAAAAAAACTTCACTGATATCTACTGTCTAAAATCTCTCTATTGTTCGCTTGTTCGATCGACGCTTGAGTATTGTTCAGCGGTTTGGAACCCAAACTACAACAACGGTGCCGAGAGAATTGAATCTGTTCAACGTCGCTTTCTTCGTTTTGCGTTGCGTAGATTGCCTTGGAATGATCCGTTTCGATTACCAAGCTACGAAAGCCGTTGTCAACTTATCGACCTAGGCCTTCTCCGGACTAGAAGAGACACAAGCAGAGCCCTAACCGTGGCCGATATCCTACAAGGAAGGGCAGAATGTGAGGCTATCCTGAGGCAAATTGACGACCGCTTCGTAATAACCTTATGCTAAGACTGCCTCTACGTCGCACAAATTATGGAGCGTACGGTGCGATTTGCGGACTGCAGAGAACATTCAACAGAGTTGCATCTGTTTTCGACTTTCATCTCTCCCATGATGCGCTTCATCGAAAGTTTTCTTCTGTTTTTCGCCGGCAGGAGTTAAGATATTGACTATAAGATAAACGTTTTTAATTTTTTTTTATGTTATGACCATGCTTGAATGTATTTTTTTTACCATAGTTGATACACACTAACTTTAGATTACTGGAGTCAGTAAAATTTTACTGGGTTTTTGAATTGCGGATCGCCCAGTAATCATCACAGCAAAAATTTGCATTACCGAATTGTCCGTAAAGTCAATCTGTCAAAAGTAACTGTTCATTCAGTAATTGGTTCGAGTTGCGTATACTGAAAAGCCCAGTAATTTTTTTTTGTTTATTTTGCTGCAATTTAACTGGCAAGACAGTTATTTTGTTCATTCTTGTACCGTGTTACCCAGTTTTGTCACGAGAAAAAAAAACTATTTAATTTTAATAATAATAACATACCCGGGAGGAAAATCATTTATTTCAATTTTAATTGCATTTTATTTTTCTCAAATTTTTAGGATACTGATAGCACAAACGGTTGTGCTGATAGGAAACAACAACAACCATGAAATCATTCCAAACTTTCCCCGTACACACTAATCAAGCATTTAGTTGTTCGGTATTTTTTTGTACTGGGCTTGCACGGTAAAATGGATGGTCATTGGATGTATTCTGATGTTTTATGCGTGCAACAAATTACATCGCGATGAAGTTTGATTCTAATGTAACGTTTTATACTGTTGTCATTGGATGTATTTTGATGTCAAATTTTACATCGACAAGACGTTTGATTCTGATGTAACGTTTGAGGCTAATGTATTTTTATGTACTTGGACGTCACACTGAAGTCTAAATACATTAAGGGTACAGCAATACACGTTAAAATTTAATATATTGAAGATGTCTGCTGATGTTTCCTACATTACAATTTCTATTCGGGATGCTAATCGATTCACCCCTCGAAACATAGAAAAATCCACTAACCCCTCATATTATCTGTCAAACTTTCATAGCGAATCAAAACAAACATTGTGTTTCAAACATAGAATTTCGACTAGAATGGGGTACGTTAATCGTTTGCTTGGGACCAATAGGCTAGTCAAGTAGTGAGCCAATTTAAAATCGTTAGTTTCGAATCGATTGTTGCTTCTATCGAATTAGGCTCTCAGGCAGTAATTTATCTGGTTATCACGACATCGAGCATGTTCACGGACAGAAAATTGTTTGCATTGAACCAAAAAAAAAACTTTTGTTGTATTTAAACAAACAATTTCTGTTGTTGTTCTTTGCATTTTATTGTTTCACATAAATTCAAAATTCTTTTTTTTTAATAAGCCACTTTTCAATTAATTATATGATTTGAGTAGAGTCGGTGTATAATGAGTCACGCCAAGAGTGAAGCCAAGTCTACCTATTGAACTGTCAAACCGGCTACCTATCGTGCAAAGTAAACAAGCATTACGATGCTATGAAAGGTCCTCGAAAGGTATTGCAATTAAATATAAAATATAATCGAAGAAATGATCATATACACGCAGTGAGCATTACATTTGTCATGCGATACGTTTTGTAATGATCAGTAATGACAATTTCTACTATTTTTCTTTAAAATAATTCGACAAAATCACTGATATAATGATCTACTGCTGTCGTTAATTTTTTTCCTCGCTAGAAGTCATTTGAAGTTGATGCAGAAGTCCTCTGTTGCCAAGTTGAAAGAAAGGGAATCTTTCAAAAACCGTGATGCGAGTTCAACTGTTTTTCTCTTGGCGTGACTCATTATACACCGACTCTAGATTTGAGTAGTAGCTATACTGAAGATCCGAGAGATGTCGCCCCTTCAGTGGTAGGAAAATCATTTTTGCAGTATGGAGAATATCAGAAAATCCACGATTTGTGACTAAACATGCTTTTACAAAAGGAACCAAATAAACGAGTGTTTACCTTATCACCATAGTAATGTACTCGTGCAATTTTTGTGCATCTAAAATTGCCCATAAAGACGATAATGAATAAAAACTGAAAATTTCCTTGCATTTCCAAATGGTTTCCTACCATTCCCATACATTCGAAGTGACTGACCCTCTGGATGTGGATGATGTCAAAAACAACAAAACATGATTAATTGCAACTATTGTAATATTCTTTTATTAAGCCAACAATAGTTAGTTTTAATTTAGCATTAATTTGTTCTGTCAATTCCCCATCCCCATTACCTCGGTTTCACCCGGAAAAAATGTAAACAACCCAACGAACAATTTGAGCTGATTAAAAGCTGGATAAGCAATTTTTCAGCTGAAGAAGCACATATTTGCCTGAATAAGCTCTTATCCAACATTCAATGTTTGTTGGGAATAATACAAAACTATTCTCGTTCGAATTCAGATCTATCTTTTCGCGTTCTACGTAAAAATTGTTTAATGTGAATTTCGTGAAATAAGCGCAAGATTTCCGGAAATACTGAGACTTGAGGTAAGTAAGTATCAAGTAAGTATGCTGCCCCGTAACGTGGGTAGATCACCTTTTCGTGGTACGTTACGGGATGTAAGATCTACCTCCGATTCCTAGTCCTGACTACTTCAAACGAGGCGAACAGTATTTTTCAGTAATCAAGTAATCATCCAATCCATTTGTGGAATAGCTCTACCATTTGGCTTATCGTTAATTTATAGTATTTGTTAATTAGGGCAATTAACGAGCACCCAATGATTTCTGCTGTATATGTTTTGTATTATTTTTGAGTGTAGAATCGTTTGACCGTGGTGATTCCCCCGTTTTTCGCCCTCCGATGCACGGTGTTTCGCGAAAACCCATTAATGGGTATAAAAATACCCATTTCCGCTAAAAGTGCCCCTCCTCATTTAATGGGTAAACTATGGTTTACTCATAAATGGGTAAATGGGTGGTCTGTCAAAAAATGGGTGTTTTTTCACCCATTTTCTTAAATTGTGTTTACCGTAAAATGGGTGAAAAAATACCCATTTTTGCAAATGGAGAATGCAAGCGCTCGTTGATGTAAAAAACTTTCTAATACATTGAAAATAAATGCAGATGTTCCGCTCAAATTTTATACGAAATATTATAATACCGAATTGAAAACTTGTTGTCATTTGTGACAACTGTCAAACTTTCCGTTTCCGTTCCGCTTCCGTCCATATTGCGTTTGGGCCTTAACTGTTTGCATTCCCAATGAATCGGTGACGGAAATGAGAAGATGAAATTTCGAAGTGTTTTTTCACCCATTAGTGGGTAAAAAATTTACCCATTATTCAACCGTGAACTGATTCTTTAAATGGGTATTTTTTCACCCATTTTATGATTTCAAATTTCCCCCATTTTTTGACAGCTGCATACATGGTTTAAAAATGGGTATTTTTTTACCCATAAATGGGTTTTCACGAAACACCGTGTGGTGCATGCATCTCATCCGCATCACAGTTGCATTCATTCCGCCGTTGCCGTTTTCGCTGGCCGAACTTCAAACAAAGTTTGACAACTGCCTGGGCTGCACATTCTTTCGCACACACAAATCCATCAGCACTTTCTGAGGAAGAAGAATCTGAAATTTTTGCGGTCTCCTCGTCGGGCGTTGCGTCGGGTAATTCTTGGCTTTCAATTTCCGAAATAATTGCTTATCTTTTAGTGATCAAAGTTTAACAGTGACTATCACTTGCAGTTGGTGTACGCTTTAGCAGTTTTTGTTTGGTGGTTGGTCGGCCGAAAGCCCCAGAAGAAGGTCCCTTTACTTTGCACCCCATCCGAAGATAAGTGTTGTGCGAGAAGAAAATCCCATCCAGGATGGCTCTCAACCCGCAGTACGAGGAAATAGGAAAAGGATTCGTCACCCAGTACTATGCAATGTTTGACGATCCGGTGCAGCGACCGAATCTGGTCAATCTCTACAATGTGAGTAGCGCTCGCTTCCATTTCTGGGTAGAAAGCTGGAATCCGATGTGTATGAAGTGGAAATTTTCTTATAGCGAGCGTAATCCCCGTCAGAGGTAGTCGCAGCTCGCTATATTGATAGAGGTTTCGCGAATGAACTGGTTGTTGCACCTAACCTCAACGTTATTTACCTTCTTGCGGGAAGCGAAACGACGGTGACTGAATCATTCGATTTTTTTTTCGTTTTATTTACTGCTTTCGGATGCGTTTGTTGTTACTTGCATGCGGACGACGTCAAAAATGACCTCGGTTGTAAGATAATTTGGGTTGCATTATTTTCTGTTTGCCAAGAAAGCATTTTTTTTGGGGTAATCATTTATGGTAATTTTAGGAACGGGAAGTAAGATTGTTATTGATTTGATTTGTCAATCGATGGGTTACCTAATTTACGATTTTATCTGATTCCAGGCCGAACTTTCTTTCATGACCTTCGAGGGACAGCAAATCCAAGGAGCTGCCAAAATTTTAGAAAAACTACAGGTAGCTGGAAATTGTTTGATAAATTTTGGATTTTTTTTTTATCCTATTCATACATTTATCTTGCAGGGTCTCACCTTCCAGAAGATTAACCGAGCCCTAACGGCGGTTGATTCGCAACCCATGTTCGACGGAGGTGTCCTTATCAATGTTCTAGGTAGATTGCAAGTAAGTATATCCTGTGTCCGATTGTCTGTGTTTGTCTTTCAATTTTGTCTATTTCGGATGGGAACTGATTCGTTTCTTTCTCTCAACTCTTTCACTGCCGTCCTCTCGCCGTCTACTATTCGCGTGGGAATCCAATGTTCTAATGTCTCCGAATCTAAATTTGAATGTTTGAGCAGACTGACGAAGATCAGCCCCACGCCTATACGCAAACGTTCGTACTGAAACCCATTGGAACCAGCTTCTTTGTCCAGCACGACGTCTTCAGATTAGCGCTGCACGACATGGCGTAGCGTGTGTCTTTCGTCGAAGAATTTGTTGTTATCCCTCTGTCCTCCGTAAAAAAAAAACAAAACTAAAACCAACAGAAAGCATTACTATACTATTGCCTTTGGCGCTTTCAGGATCTAATTGAATCTATCTAAATATTGAACGTAGTTCGAAAGAATGAACAGAATTTCCAACACTCACATCAACTAATACCTAATACGAATTCGATTTGTTCCCCGCGCGCGGTCCGATTCTATAGGATACGATTAGTTGAAGAACGAAATGAGCTGGAAAATATAGGAATCTATAAAATTTTATAAATATTATGAAAATGATGCACACAAACTGCGAAAGCTAGAGAACAGTAAACCGAAACCGGTTTAAGCTCACTAATTTAAAGTAGTTTTTCTTTTTTTCATTGTAAACTTGCCTTGCAGAAAGTGTAGGTTTTTACTTTGCGTTTTTGTGTTTCCTGAAATATAGTTTCTTTTAACTGTCTTATGTATGCTCTTCTCGGAATGGTTCAATTTTTTTTGCAAGCAACATTTAATCACATTAAAGGAGAAATGTGTAATAAATTATTGACTATTAATATAATACCTATCGAAGATTTGTAAATTTGAAGCGCATCGGTTGTTTTATTTCTACTGTTCGCAAGTGACCTGTAAGGAAACGATCGACGTAGCGAAGGTAATGAAGGTGTGTGTGTAACTAATTAATTTCCTTTTAGTTTTACACTAACTACTTACCTATGAATGAATGCTTATGTACATATTTTCGGTTTGGTTTAAGTTGATGTTGTTAACAGCTTATTTCCGTACTATTAACGAACTTATAAGTTTCAATTGTATTCGTTTTAACTTGTTCGATGTTTTCCCCTGTTTTGTTTTTCATCCAGTGTAGAAATCATTTTGTGCACCCTCTCTAGTCTGTACTAAAGAGGCTACATTTATAAAGAGACGACATCTTATCCATTTGACAGGTCTTCTGCTCGATTGGAATCACTTTTCCAATGACTTTCGTTATCGTGATAATCGTTTGTTCCAATTTTGACATCTCGTCTTTTTATAAATTCAGCCTCTTTAGTCTGTACTACAGTCGCTGTTTGGGTATTAGCGAACTGTACTTTTGCTGATTTAAAGCTTGGACTGCCTTTCGGAAATCGAAAATATACTTATTTTTTTACTACGATTTTAAAACACGTTTATTATTCTGGACGAATGAAACAAAACTAAACTCACTTGACATTTCAAATTCTTTTTCCCGGAAATAGAAAATTGGTTCAACCCGAAGGTAAAAATACGGCGCTCGCAAAGTCGGGGGGTGCTTCGATACTGGAACATCCTCCTCGCCTTGAAGCCACAAGTGGCTTCAATCAGACGGCAGCACACATAACTTATGGATCGGTCGTTGGTACACAGTTGAGCCACGGCGCAAGGTCACCACCCGAACCACTCCTGATGCGTCTGGATGAATCATTTCCACTCTGGCTAATTCCCACTGTGCTGGTGGTGCGTTATCGTTTTTGACTAGCACTAATTCACCCACGTTGATATTTGGTTGAGAAGTACGCCACTTACTACGCAGTTGCAAGCTTGCTAAGTATTCGTCCTTCCATCTGTTCCAAATATTCACGGTATGCCTCTGCATTTCTTGCCACCGATCTAGGCGGTTAGACGGTAGATGCTTCATGTTGGGTTCTGGAACCAGGTTCATAGGCTGCCCGATCAAAAAATGACCAGGTGTCAGTGCCTCGGCGCAGTCAGGGTCACTGGACAAGGGGCACAAAGGCCGCGAGTTGAGGCATGATTCAATCTGGCACAGCACTGTAGACACATCCTCAAACGTAATTGCTCCTTCTCCCAACTCTGCCACCAGATGCTTCTTGACACTGCGTACCGCAGCCTCCCAAATACCGCCCATGTGCGGCGCCGATGGGGGGTTAAAGACCCACTTGATTCCCAAATTAGAAAGATAACGGCTGGCATCCTTACTGTTTGACATAATCTGTTCGATGAATTGCTGCAGTATATGATCGGCGCCAATGAAATTGGTGCCATTGTCCGATCGAATTTCGATAGGGTAACCACGCCGGGATATGAATCTCTTCAGAGACCCAAGGAACGTGTTCGATGAGAGATCGCTTGCTACCTCGAGATGAACTGCTCGAGTTGAGAGGCACACAAACACCACAATGTACCCCTTGGTGATCTTAATTCCTCGTATGCATGTTGCCTTCAGTTTCAAAGGACCGGCATAGTCTATGCCGACATGTGAAAAGGCTCTTGTGGCTAGCACTCTTGCCGGTGGAAGGGTTCCCATGAGTTGACCAGCAGTCTTGCCTTTGAGTCGCACACATCGCATACATCCCTGCACTACTTTCCGAACTACCGTCTGGCAACCAACTATCCAATACTGTTGACGGACAATTGCAGTCAGAAGAGACGATCCTGCGTGAAGGTTGCGCAAATGCAGATCGCGCACTAGTAGCTCCGATGATTTTGTGGAAGGATTATTGGATGTTTTACTTCGTATGGCTGGGCCGAATTATGTAGACGGCCGCCCACACGCAAGGTTCCCTCTGAATCCAAAAAGGGATGCAATGATGAAAGGATATGCTTAGGTTGGAGACACTTACCCTTACGCAGCAAATCCAACTCTTGGCTGTGTACCTCGTGCTGCACAGCTTACAACAGATGAATATTTGCTTGATATAGCTCGTCCAAAGTCAGCTCTCCAATGTGTCGCTCGCTGGTGCCTTGCTTGAGTACGACGGATTTTAAGTTGTAGTTCACACGGTACACGCATGCCAAGGAACGAACCAAAAAAAAAAGCTGGATCAATTAACGATTAACTGCTTCTCAACCTCATAGTTGATTATTTTCGTCAACAGTGTACATAACGATTTGATCGGTTTGACCTCCAACGAATCTTCGTCGACAACCTGTGGTGCTGGGCTTCGCTTCCAACCCGATTCATCTTCTTTCAGCCACGGTGCTCCTTGAAACCATAGCTGATTGTTGACAAGTTCATCTGGTGATAGTCCACGCGATGCAACGTCTGCAGGGTTATCCTTGCTAGAAACGTGATTCCAGCAGCTTCGTGGCAGGTAATCCAAAATTGCAGATGTCCGGTTTCCTACAAATGTCTTCCACCTTCGGGGATGCGAAGACAGCCATTGCAGAACGATGCTCGAATCTGTCCATGCCCAGTGTTCGATCTGCTGGTGTGGCAAGGCTTCAGTAATCCGACGCATCAACTCTGTGAGTAGCAGCGCTCCGTTCAACTCTAGACGAGGTAGTGACACTTGCTTGATTGGCGCCACCCGAGATTTAGCCGCAATGAGTACCACCGAAACGTTGCCTTGATCATCGACTGTTCTCGCGTACACCACCGCAGCGTATGCATGTTCGGAAGCGTCCGAAAAACCATGAAACTGCACACGGTCCCGGCTTGGAAAAATACACCGTGGAATTCGGATGGACTCGAGTAGATGAAGATTTTGCTTCACTGCTTGCCATTCTTGCTCGACGGCTGACGGCAACGGGTCGTCCCAGGCGATGTCGAAAAGCCAGAGGTGTTGATAGAGAATTTTGATTTTGACTATTACAGGAGCCAACCATCCGAACGGATCGAATAATCTGGACGAATCTGATATCATCTGGCGCTTAGTGTTGACACTGTGCGGGGAAAAACTAACCTTGAATCCATATTCATCTCGAGACGGATACCACAGGATGCCCAGTGCCTTCACTGCCTCGTTGTAATCCGAAAGCTTCATATGTACGGGTTGTGCTTCGTCCGAAGAGTGGTTGGATAAAAGATTCTCACAATTAGACGACCACTTCCTTAGTTCAAACCCGGCTGAAGATAAGATTTCGACCACCTGCTGCTTCAGGCGGATTGCTTGTTCCTCGTCGTCTGCTCCGGACAGGAAGTCGTCGACGTAAAAGTCAAGCTTGATCCGCTTCACTGCTTCCGGATAAACGGTTTCGTACGGCTTAGCTGATTCTCTCATGGCCTCGATTGCCAAATACGGGGCTGTTTTCGTTCCGTACGTCACTGTACAAAGGCGATAGTGCTTCAACGGCTGATCGGGTTCTTCACGGAAGACGATACGAAGATAGTCACGGTCCGCTGGATGTACCAGTACTTGACGGTAAAATTTGGCAACATCCGCACGGAAAGCCACACGATGTGAACGGAACCGCAACGAAACTGTGAAGATATCAGCGTTATTGTTTGGTCCGGCCAACAATCTGTCATTGAGCGAAACTCCAGATGATGACACACAAGACGCGTCAAAAACAACGCGCAGTTTTGTTGTTGAGCTGTCTTCCTTGATTACGGCGTGGTGCGGCAAATAGTAGCACTCACCGCTAACCTTCTGAACTTCGGCTACCGGAACCTCCTCCATATGTCCGAGCTTCAAATATTCACGCATGAAGTTAGTGTATTGATTCTTGAACTCCGCATCCAGATGAAATCGTCTTTCGATACATGTGAGTCGTTTCGTGGCCACAGCGAGAGAATCGCCAAGCGCTGGCTTCGAATTATCAAAGGGTAGTCTGACAATGAAGCGTCCAGTATCATCTCGTGTCAGGGTTGAACTGAAATAATCAGTAACCAGTTGCTCAGAAGGAGTAAGCGATGGTGGCTTGAACATTTCCTCCTGTTCCCAAAATTGCTGCAAGGTGCGGTTCAAATCCATTTCGACGTGCAGGCTGAGAATTGCGTGGTTGCATTGAATGACAGCTGCAGCGTCGTAGCGGCCTGCTACGATCCATCCGAAAATCGTCCGTTGGGCCACTGTTTGGCCGCTCTCGTTTTTGACTTGATCTCCCTCCAAGAGTGCAAGAAAAACGTCTGCTCCCAGAATGATGTCTATCACGCCTGGTTGATTGAATTCCGGATCCGCCAACCCGTCCAGTTGATTTAGAAGCTTCATGTTATCCACATCGAACGGCTGAGACGGTATTGTGGTAGTCAGTTTGCCAAGAACGTAGGCCTCAATGTTCAAGACTAGGGTGTCCTTGAACCGAGATGCAAGGCGCAATGTCACCACACCGCGTGTCGTTCCGACCTCTTGTTGACCCAGACCGTTGACTACTAGCTTGCCGTTCCGTCGTGGTAGTTGCAATTTCCGGACACAGGATTCTGTCACCAACGACGCTTGAGAACCGGAATCGATGAGAACTCTCGCTGTCATAAAATCGCCATCCACCTTTTGCACCTTGACAACAGCCGTTGGCAGCAACGGGATAGATTTTTGCTTGTTCTCCCGGAACTTCCGCCGCCAGTGAGACAATGGCACTTTCTTCCTTTGCAGGGGCCACCGCCGAATCTTCTTGTTGTTCTGCTTCCGGTTGTTCAGCCTTCTTCACCACAGGACACAGCAGCGTATGGTGCCGTTGCTTGCAGTCGGAGTTGTGGCACACAGACTTCGACGTACACGACTTCACCGAATGGAATGGCCGTAAGCAATTGAAACACAGTTTGGCCTTTTGCACTAGTTCACGTCTGTCCTTCACACTCATATTTTTGAATTCTTCACACTGATACGTATTGTGCTCACTGGAGCACTTCGCGCACTTTTTGTCCGTTGTTGACGTATACAGCGTCTTCAGCTTCGTCGAGATTGGCACCGATCTTTGTACTTCCTTCTTCGGTTCATTCACTGGTTTCTTCACGAACGCAGAACAAGTTTCGATCACCTCACAGCGCTTTTTGAGAAACTCCAGCAGTTCCTCGAATGTTGGGTTCTCAATCTCCACTACTTCTTGAGACCAACTGGCTCGTGTGTCCTTGTCCAGCTTCTCCAGGATGAGATGGATTAGCCACGGATCTCGGCTTTTGAACTCCTGCCCCAAAGCATCCAGCTGTTGCACAATCTCGTCCGATGTTGTAACTAGTCTGCTCAACGACTGCGGCGATGCTGGAGTTACGGCCGGTTGGGCCATGAATTCGTGAACCAACGAGAACACTGTGAAACGCTTTTTATCGTAGTGGTTGACCAGTGTCTCCCACGCTTTATCGTAATTCACACCCGAGATAGGGAACTTGTTGACTAAGCGTTTGGCGTCTCCATCCAGATAGGAAAAGAGGTGTTGCATTTTGAGCGCATCTGTAATGTCAGCCCGATTGTGGATTGTTGACACGTAGAGGTCCTTAAACGTCATCCACTGTTTACGTTCACCATTGAATGGCTGAATCTGAATGGCAGGCAACCGAACATTCAACTGGGGTGCACCATTCGACACCTGTTCTCCGTCGGGAAGTTTGATTGCAGCTATCGGAAACTTCGACAGATTTTCGACGGTTTTTGCTGTCATCGCCTGATCCAACAATAGCTTCCTCTGCGTCTCGATGAGCAGATGAAGTGCCTCCTTCCAATCGGCCGTATTGGCAACAGTTTGCTGACTCACGGAAGATCCAACCTCATCCAGATGACTTTCGAAAATATCCTTCACTCTGTAGAACATTCCGAAAAACTCCTCCCTGACCGAATGCACCGATGCGGTGGCTACTGGGTCCTCCTGTTTCTCCTCGATGCAGCTCTGCGTTTCCCGAAAACTAGCAGCAAGCTCGTTTAGCTGATTCAGTCGGTCCCTAACCTCACTTTGGGACGGATTCCGCTCTTTGATGTTGTCCGCGACTGAAAGCTCTACATTGATTTGAGCCATGAGGGCGTTCCTCCGGCTAATCAGCTTTTGCAGGTCCGACATTATCCGGTTAGAAGGACCAATGATTGGGTATGAGCGAACTGTACTTTTGCTGATTTAAAGCTTGGACTGCCTTTCGGAAATCGAAAATATACTTATTTTTTTACTACGATTTTAAAACACGTTTATTATTCTGGACGAATGAAACAAAACTAAACTCACTTGACATTTCAAATTATTTTTCCCGGAAATAGAAAATTGGTTCAACCCGAAGGTAAAAATACGGCGCTCGCAAAGTCGGGGGGTGCTTCGATACTGGAACAGTCGCTATATTTATAGTCTGGCGAATAGAATTTCGAGTTATCAAAAAGCGGAACCAATTCAGTATATTGTAGACCAACAATTGAAAAGGCCTACTGTGGGAACGCGACTTCACGGAATAAAGAAAGGCTCGACGGTTAAGTAATGATAAGTAAGACTTTTATCGAAGACAACATACCTAGAAGCGACATACAGTAGCTATTAAATTCGATCGGAGCATTTACCTTTTAGTGGCAGATGACGCTACTGTGTCTGTCTCATAGCGGATGTATGAGAAAATGGAAGAGTTGCCAGTCTTCTTGATATGTTGTCTTCGTTTTTATTCTCTACTGTTCTACAAACTCGTGTTCACTTTAAGGCGTAGCGTTATCAACTGTCAAACTCCGTACGGTGGTTTTGAATCCGCTTTCATCGGGTAGGGTGTATCCATAGTTGCCCCCACAGTAACATCAAGAACCGAAAACGGTGACCGGATGATGTAACTTTCGTGTGGCCATCGTCAGTCGGGTGGCTGCTAAAATCCTTACTGCAGATGGATGTAAGCTGACTTAAGTCGATTGATACTAATGCCCTGCTTCTTTCCTGCAACCAACACTTCGAAGTTTTTTTCACCACGCTTGATAACTTCATATGGTCCTTCGTAAGGACGTTGTAAGGAACGCTTCACTGCATCAATTCGAACGAATCCATGACTGCAACTTTTCAAATCACTGTGACGGTAGGCTTCGCATGATGAATCACTTTTGGAGGCCGAATTTCCACAAACGCTTCGTGGAGTTATTTGGCGAAAGCTGTTCGATCGATGTCTGTCGTTGGAGGGTCACTTGGTCATACACCAACTCAGCAGCAGAGCATTTTAGATCCTCGCGTAAGGCGCTGCGCAATCCTAGGAGTACCATAGGTAACGGATCACTTCAATTTTGCTTCCCTTTGCACTGTAGCTTTGAGTGTTCGATGAGGGCGCTCCACCATCAATGACGTTTATATAAATGTCATTGCTCCACCATCCCGTGGGTTCCTAGAGTGTATGTCAACTCCCGAAATAGTTTGGATTTAAACTGGCGTCCCTTATCATATGTTATAGTCTCCAGTGAACCAAAACGAGCGATCCATTCAGAAGTCAGCAGCTTGAAGTGGGAAGGCTTCTGGCCAACGTGTGAAGCGGTCCACGATGGTGAGAAGATAGCGCGGTGTCCTTAAGACGGCGGAAGTGGACCAACAAGGTCGATGTGGATATGCCGAAATCTTGATTTCGGGAGATCAAACGTGCCCAAAGGAATAACGGTGTGACGATTTACCTTAGATGCCTGACAAGCAATACAGCTGCGTACGAAATCGTTGATGTCTTTGTTCATAGACGGCCACACAAATCTGTCGGAGTTTAACCACCTGGTTGCCCTTGCACCAAGGTGTGCCATACCGTGTACCAAGACGATGGTTTTCTAGAACGAAAGGACGCATTTTGTTATTGATTGATACATCCCAATAAATCGGGCATGAAAGGTTGGGCAGTAGACTGATGCAAAATTTAAAATTTTTGGTCAACGGTGCTCAAACTGTTCCAAATTGGGTTCTGATGCTGAATTCTGTTCAGCAGCAGCAGCAATTCTTTTTCCAAACGATGCAGTCAACGATGAACCAGCAATAAGCTCCGAATCCGAAGCTGATGCTTGACTCCCTAGCAAGTAATAATAAAGAGTAGACAGCGAGCTAGGACAACTTTAAGGAAGGTACAAATCGGTTTTATCATCTCTCTTTACCAAACTCCCCCTCACCATCCCTCTCCAAAGGCCGTACTCTAAACAGAACTATCAATTCTATACTTTCATCTCCTCCACATCTATCGTATAAAAATTACCACTTTAGTCTGTTATTTGAAATTAGCATCTTCAACCTTTGTAGCCCATTGATAGCACCATACGAACTATAGTTTGTACGACGAAAAGGTATCCTCAGCATTGCGTTGTTACGGAGTGCTCGTGGTTGAACGTTAACGTCGATTTGTTGTAAAATAGAAGGACAATCGATTCTGCCCTGTAGAATGTCTGCCACAAACAGGGCCCTTGTCGCATCTCTTCGACTGCATAAAGGATCCAGGTGAATTAACTGGCACCGTAGCTTGGAAGGCGATTAGGATCCCTTCAAGGCAATCGTCGAAGGGCAAACCAGATGAATCGTCGTTGAACAGACTCTACTCTTTGTACACTGTTTTGGTAATTGGGATTCCATACAGGGCAGCAATTAGCAAAAGCGTTGATTTGGAGTTGGAGAAGGTG